TCCGTCCTTCCCCATCACTGCAGCCCTTTCGACCCCCCTCTTGACGCTTGTTCGCTACTGCACGTTACTTCTTGAGTTAGCACGGGTGATGCGCCGAAAGATGAGCAAGGAATGTGACTGCTTTTTCCGCATCAGGGACGTAAGGCCGCACCAGAACGTGTAATTTTCAGCGGGGTTGTGTATTTGAATCAACAAAAGAATTTTTTTTCGAAATCGTTCGCACCCCCGGCGGTTTCTCAAGGCGTTTTGCTTTGTTCCCTTTTTTTCGGACGATCTCGGCGACATGCCTGCATCTCTGGCTCGTCAATGTTCATGCACTCCGTTCCGGCACACGCCGGGCTCTGACGTTGCCTCGGATGTGCGATCTCTCACACGCAACCGTCAAGGCATGCTGTCATACCTTGCATTGAGCATGACTAACGCGCCCTCAGGTGTGACTGGCAGATGTGGGAATTACAGATACAGACACCGCATGACTCCCGAAATTCTTGATAGCGCCGAAAGTGCAATCGGTTTGACGCGGAAAACACAACGGGGGGAACGATTGGTAGGGCAGGGCGAAAACTTGTTTCATCTGCGACTGACTATTGTCTGCCATTTGAAAACGTTTCAGCCGGAAAGCGTAAATCTGTCCGCGTGTTGGTTTGGGCAAGTGCAATCGAATGACAAACGTTCGCCGAGTAAATACCGCCATGAACAGGGGACAATTATGCACAACCACAGTTGTGCTTCGTTTTGAGAGTGGAGAGCTTGTGCTATGCAATGGGACGAAGGCTACCCCGAAACGTGGCACACACGGAATGCGGACTCTGGCCTCATCAGATGCCCTCAGTGAAACCCTTCGCAAAACAGAATTGGTCACGAACATGCAAGAACGTCCTTTGACGGACTATTACTCTTTTCTTCTATGGTGGAATGCGTTGCCGCGGATTGGAACTTACCTGACAAGGAATGTGGTCCTGGTTTGACGTGTCTCAGAAATGAGCTACAGTCCCCGTTACGTCTTGGTTGACCTCATCGCTCACGTATGAAAGTTTCACCTTCCGGGACAGGGCAGGTTTATGGATTTATGCCCGGAGACGTGTCGCCTCGTTGTGATTCCTTTTGGACCGTTGGGCAAGCGAAGAGGCCAGTCCCCCGCTTGGCTTGGAGTGGTTGTCGTTTGGTGGGGGTTGGAAGGTCACAAGCGTCAGGTATCCTGCAAGGTCCACACGAGCTTGATGGTCTGCTGATGCACCTATCTTGGCTCTCACTCACTCGGATTGGCGAATTCGCTTTGGAACGTGTCGAGGAAGGTACTACCTCCGTTGTTTGAAGGGTTGCAGAGAAGTCGGCCGTTGCAACCGCAGGCGGTCGAACTTTTTCTTCGGTGGGGACAAGGGTGTGTGAACGGCACGGGCATTGCTCATCCTATAAAGTTCGTTTGGGGAAACGCTGTGTTTTCAGGGCCCAAAGCAAGCACAAATATAGGCTGCAAGCATGGCAAGATGCTGACCAAATGAGGGCTACCTGTGTTGAAATATTGCCGTCGTTGTTGAGGACAGATGCCATTGAGGGAGGCCGCCCTTGGTAGTGCAGCTGTCCAGAATATCGAACTGAAACGCGTTAGCGCGGCAGCTTTTCTCTTCTCCAACAAGGGGTATTTGGGCGAAGGGTAGCGACAGTGCATCGTAGCAAGATTCGATGTTTCGCAGTCATTTTCGTGAGCTTCGTTGAGATTTTGTGCACAATCCTGGATGTTTCTGGCCCGAATCATGAACGCCGATTGAAGCGCTCCATGGTGTGTATGGTATGATTTCGTGGACGACTACCAAATAGAAACGCACCAGGTGGCGCCGACGTCGTGTTCGATGACGTGTTGGCTTGGATTTGCCCGACATGCGTCTATATTCCGGCGCAGTATAGCTGACGTATTTGGTCCTTCATGGAGTGCCTCTCGTTATCGACTTGCCAGATGCCGTTTTGCTCTGCTTGTCGTTTCCGGGTTCATCTGTCTAGGTAGCGTTATTTCGATTTCAAGCAGCTGTCGGACCTGTTCGCAAAGAAAAACACCAGAGAAGAAAACGAGCAAAATGCTGTGCTTCTATTCGTCTTCCGTCGTCCCCCGTTTCCGAACAGCTCAAAAGCCACACATTCCGTAAAGGTTACATGAGTTGATACTTGTTCCAATTTCTCGCGCACTACGATTGTATGTCGACATGGACACCCTGGAAACTTGCTTCCTGGAGGTGCATTCCGGCGTGCTGTCATTGCGAACCGATCATCGACTGTCAGATTTCATTCTCCGTGGCTTGATTACGTAAGAACGATCAGAAACCACCAGGTTGACTTGCCCCCCGCGGCCAGTTGGCGGTCGGAGAAGATAAACCCTGTTGCATGTGTCGAATCGTGCACAACTTCTGTTTTCACATGGCGTGACTAGCCGATACTGGGTGGGGATCGCTGACCGTGAAGTTGCATCTACGGTATGTAGCAATTTGTAGGTACGTGCTGCACGACCAGGCTGAATTCATACGTTCGGATTGCACAAATCATCAATGACGTGGGTCTGTGTCCCTCGGAAGCAATTCGAATACGTCTCAGGCTTGGGCAACCTCATTGGTCTGAAGATCCATGTAGCCCGTGGTGCTAGATCGCGTTTCGAGCTTGTTGGCGTTGAACCCCACAGGAAATATTTCGAGGACAGGTCCGACATGGCTTCTCCGCACAACTTAGGACTCCCGCCCCGGTGTGTACGAAAGCAGGCTGTGAAGTCTAGACCGCACAAACGCGCACGTCAACTGTCTATTTGCCCTGCACTCTTTGTCGGGTGCAGCCAGAAATTCTGAGCAGCGGCGCGAGAGAGGAAGCCCCGAAGCACGCGGCTGCGTGTGCTTAAGGCCGTGTTCGCATACAGCGTTAACGGTGTTCTTTNGTGGTCAACTTCCAATGCTGTTTTGCTCTAATGTATGAGCGGGCAGGTGTAGCCAGAATCAACCTTTTGTGCCAAATACCCTTCTCTCGGGTCCGCTCCAGAAAGCTTAGGTGTCGCCGGGCCACGCTGTTGCTACACTGGGGGATGAGACGTGGGAATCCCTCGTGCTGTTAGTGTGTTCTTCAGTGATTCAAACGTGTGCGTCCGGCTGTGTTCCTCGGATTATTTCTGCTGAAAGAGGATTATTGCGTGTCTGGGAAGTCGCCCGACGTCCGGAAGGGGAAAGCGTTCAATACGAAAAGTGCCATATATTTTTGTCTGCGTGATGGCCGGTGACAAGTGATATGGTGCTGGCTGTGGCGACAAGGTCCTCGCGNTGTCAGCAAGGGGAAAGCGTTCAATGCGAAAAGTGCCATTTATATTTGTCTACGTGATGGCCGGTGACAAGTGATATGGTTCTTGCTGTGGCGACAAGGTCCTCGCGTAGGACGAGAAGATGTTTGGTGGTGATAGGCCGAGTACCCGAAAGAGTCTACGAATCAAATGCTCGAGTCGGCTTAGGACGTCGCTCCCGAGAGGGAGCACGCGTAAGCGAGGTTCGTGATTTTTGCACCATTGCCGTGACATGTTCCTATTGCCCATCGTAGGGATGGGTGCCAAGGCCGACCGAAAGAGGCCCTGTGTCGTTCACGGGCATGACGTTCGATATTCGAAGCGGGTTGATTTTGTCTTCGGCTAAAGTGCTTGTGCCTGTTGAATGCATTGGGAGGGATGGCCGAAGGTCATGATCATGAAATGATGAGGAGGGTGCCCTGGAGGTAAACGTGGCCACTTTCGCAACGTGGAGGAAAACGTTCATGGTTTCACCCTTGTGTTACGGGTACAAAATACCTGCCTATGTGAGCCCAACTCCCTTGAGCATCAGCTCACCCGAGGTTCAGGGTACCATTTGGACAAGCCTCGCGGCACGGCGCGACCCACCATCACCTTGTATGTTTCTGTGTTTCAACTTTCATGTCCCTGCAAGGCCAACGCGTATCGAAGGGCTTACCGTGCGAGGGGCAGGTTGGTGTTGCTCGACTTCGCAGCGTTGCCGAGCGATGGGCCGATATTTTCCGTGTAGTCTATTCGAATGGAAACATGTTTCTCATGCACGTTTGTATTGGGCACCAGTGCGATGAGCGTAAACGCGTGGCATGTTGCATGCTTTGTTCACCTGTCATGCGCTTGTCTGTCTTTGGTCGCATGCTGTGGGCGTCGTGCTTCAGGACCGATTCCGTCTGCTCTGGGAGGACTAACGGCGCTGCAGGTGCTGGGGCTGCACCAAAACCAACTGAGCGGTGAGTGATGCTACAGGGGCGAAGCTCCCGCGTGCCCCAGCGAGTCGTTGTCGTGGTCGCACCCCAGAATTGTGTTTGATGATCGGTGAAAGAACTTCGATGGGTCACTACTAGCCCTCTCGGAGGAGACTGGTGTGTTTGAAAGCATTGTCCCAAGTGAAGAGATGCCTTGTCTGGAATTTCATGCTGCATCAGAAGTATCGTTTCACTCTTTCAAACTCAAGTCTTGTTTGCATGGTTCTCGCTTCCGACCAACACCTGCGACACCTGCTCACCGGTGGTGTCATGCTAACTAGTAGAGAGTCACCTATCATTGTTGAGAGAAAGTTCTTTGTTTTTCCGAAATTGAACAGCGAGCATTTAAACCAAAGATCATGTCCATACCAGGAATCGAATCGGCGATTGCACTGCTCTCGTTCAATTCTGGATCATTTGTTCGATGTCCTGAGAAGAGGTGATTTGCTGAGTGATGAGCCGTCCCCAGATTAGTAGGACTGCGAGGATGCAACTATTTTGTTGTTTTCAACTCAGCCTCTGAGTCGCAGTGATTGGCCCCCCCTGGTGTCACCTCTGCTGCTGTGGTTTTGATTGCCGTAATGAAGTCTTCACACTCAACGAACAGCAACATTTTCTGTCGATTAGCTCTCGCTACTGTGCACAGACAAAGAAACGAATTTCGGTGTGGTCATGGATAACACCTCCAGTAGAATGACATACTAGAATACTACCGTCGGACATCTGTGCCCCGTGATTTGTGCCAACCACTCGCAAGAAGGACGTGAGCCCAATCGAGTCGTGTGAAAGGGTACAGTATGTTTAACATTGAGAACAGCAGTGGGGCCATCGCTCAGACTCTTGCGATTGAGTCAGGAACAAATTCCCATACTCTCGGAAACTGCACGCGTGCATATCTTCGAGGCCGGGGTGAGTGCGATATTGGGTTTGTCGTCCGACCAGGCCAATTGTTTCAGACGTTGAAGGGTTGCAGAGAGGTCGGCCGTTGCAACCGCAGGCGGTCGAGCTTTTTTTCTTCGGTGGGGACAAGGGTGTGTGAACAGCGCCGGAAGTGCTCATCCTATAAAGTTCGTTTGGGGAAACGCTGTGTTTTGAGGGCCCGAAGCAAGCACAAATGCAGGCTGCAAGCATGGCAAGATGCTGACCAAATGAGGGCTACCTGTGTGGAAATAATGCCGTCGTTGTTCAGGACAGATGCCATTGAGGGAGGCCGCCCTTGGTAGTGCAGCAGTCCAGAATATCGAACTGAAACGCATTAGCGCGGCAGCTTTTCTCTTCTCCAACAAGGGGTATTTGGGCGAAGTAGCGACAGTGCATCGTAGCAAGATTAGATCTTTCGCAGTCGTTTACGTGAGCTTTGTTCGATAATTTGTGCATAATCCTGGTGGTTTCTGGCCCGAATCATGCACGCCGATTCAAGCGTTCCATGGTTTGTATGGTATGATTTCGTGGACGACCACCAAATAGAAAGGCACCAGGTGGCGCCGACGTTGTATTCGATGACGTGTTGGCTTGGATTTGCCCGACATGCGTCTATATTCCGGCGCAGTATAGCTGACGTATTTGGTCCTTCATTGAGTGCCTCTCGTTATCGACTTGCCAGATGCCGTTTTGCTTTGTTTGTCGTTTCCGGGTACATCTGTCTAGGTAGCGTTATTTCGATTTCAAGCAGCTGTCGGACCTGTTCGCTACGAAAAACAGCGGAGAAGAAAACGAGCAAAATGCTGTGATTCTATTCGTCTTCCATCGTCCCCCGTTTCCGAACAGCTCAAACGCCACACATTCCGTAAAGGTTACATGAGTTGATACTTGTTCCAATTTCTCGCGCACTACGGTTGTATGTCGACATGTACACCCTGGAAACTTGCTTCCTGGAGGTGCATTCCGGCGTGCAGTCATTGCGAACCGATCATCGACTGTCAGATTTCATTCTCCGTGGCTTGATTTCGAAAGAACGATCAGAAACTACCAGGTTGACTTGCCCCCCACGGCCAGTTCGCCGTGGGAGAAGGTAAACCCTGTTGCATGTGTCGAATTGTGCACAACTTCTGTGTTCACATGGCGTGACTAGCCGATTCTGGGTGGGGATCGCTGACCGTGAAGTTGCATCTACGGTATGTAGCAATTTGTAGGTACGTGCTGCACGACCAGGCTGAATTCATACGTTCGGATTGCACAAATCATCAATGACGTGGGTCTGTGTCTCTAGGAAGCAATTCGAATACGTCTCAGGCTTGGGCAACCTCATTAGTCTGAAGATCCATGTAACCCGTGGTGCTAGATCGCGTTTCGAGCTTGTTGGCGTTGAACCCCACAGGAAATAATTCGAGGACAGGTGAAACATCGCTTCTCCGCACAACGAAAGAGGCCTCCCCCCCCGGTGTGTACGAAAGCGAGCTGTGAAGTCTAGACCGCACAAACGCGCACGTCAACTGTCTCTTTGCCCTGCACTCTCTGTCGGGTGCAGCCATAAATTCTGAGCAGCGGCGCGAGAGAGGAAGCCCCGAGGCATGGCGCTGCGTGTGCGTAAGGCCGTGTTCGCATACAGCGTTATCGGTGTTCTTTCGAGCTGGTTTTGGCTTGATCGACAAGGTGTTGTTGAATTTGTCTCAAGGTCTTGCCGGCTGCTGGGTTCGCATTTGGTCAGAAGGGTACCTTCGACACCCCTCACCGCTGCTCCTGCGCTTGCTGTGACTGGAGGATGGCTGTACGTTTGGTGATCCGAAGTACATCATTGGCGCGTACGGTTCATGCCAATATCAATCTTGCCGACGTCACGATCCATCCTCAACAATCGTCATACAGCATTACCAACAGCTTTACGTTGTACAGCAACGATAAAATGCAAACACTGTTGGTCAACTTCCAATGCTGTTTTGCTGCAATGTATGAGCGGGCAGGTGTAGCCAGAATCAACCTTTTGTGCCAAATACCCTTCTCTCGGGTCCGCTCCAGAAAGCTTAGGTGTCGCCGGGCCACGCTGTTGCTACACTGGGGGATGAGACGTGGGAATCCCTCGTGCTGTTAGTGTGTTTTTCAGTGATTCAAACATGTGCGTCCGGCTGTGTTCCTCGGATTATTTCTGCTGAAAGAGGATTATTGCGTGTCTGGGAAGTCGCCCGACGTCCGCAAGGGGAAAGCGTTCAATACGAAAAGTGCCATATATATTTGTCTGCGTGATGGCCGGTGACAAGTGATATGGTGCTGGCTGTGGCGACAAGGTCCTCGCGTAGGACGAGAAGATGTTTGGTGGTGATAGACCGAGTATCCGAAAGAGTCTACGAATCAAATGCTCGAGTCGGCTTAGGACGTCGCTCCCGAGAGGGAGCACGCGTAAGCGAGGTTCGTGATTTTTGCACCATTGCCGTGACATGTTCCTATTGCCCATCGTAGGGATGGGTGCCAAGGCCGACCGAAAGAGGCCCTGTGTCGTTCACGGGCATGACGTTCGATATTCGAAGCGGGTTGATTTTGTCTTCGGCTAAAGTGCTTGTGCCTGTTAAATGCATTGGGAGGGATGGCCGAAGGTCATGATCATGAAATGATGAGGAGGGTGCCCTGGAGGTAAACGTGGCCACTTTCGCAACGTGGACGAAATACGTTCATGGTTACACCCTTGTGTTAGGACTACAATATACCTGCCTATGTGAGCCCAACTCCTTTGAGTATCAGCTCACCCGATGTTCAGCGTACCATTTGGACGAGCCTCGCGGCACGGCGCGACCCACCATCACCTTCTCTCATGGGTCGCAGATCTTAGACGTTGTTGGCGCCACCTGGATTTGATACCCCGTACGCCGCTAGGATGGCCGCTGTCATTCGTGCAGGCTTGGTCTGTGGGGGTGATACATGGGTTCGTTTTCATGTATCCTCACTTTCCTGTTGTTTCTTCCGTGTACCACCACATGTTAAACTGCTTGGAAACAGTGTAGGGCTTGATGTGGAAAATGCAACAGGTTCAACCCCCCCCAACCCTTTTTCGCGGACTATCGAAGGAACGTTGAGAGGAATCGAGGAGACAGCTGTATTCTCCTGGTTAATGGCGTTGAACGTTTAGCTCAGACACGCCAGAAATTCATGAGGCTGCGTCGCCAAAATGGGAAAACAGCCGCTGGTGTACCCCTCGTCGCTCCGCGGTTGTTAATCTTGAGAGGCCAGCAAACGTCAGTGGCTCTCCTTGAGAACGCGTTTCGGCCACAACGTGATTCACGCCATGAGGATGTGCCGAATACCGAATGCCAGCTCGAGACGTTGGAANAATGGCGTTGAACGTTTAGCTCAGACACGCCAGAAATTCATGAGGCTGCGTCGCCAAAATGGGAAAACAGCCGCTGGTGTACCCCTCGTCGCTCCGCGGTTGTTAATCTTGAGAGGCCAGCAAACGTCAGTGGCTCTCCTTGAGAACGCGT